ATTTGCTGACTGAATTCTCTTGAGCCACAAGTGAATGACTGTCTACCGAAGTCAGGATTTAAAGTGATAAGTGGAAGCATCAGGCTGAGAAAGAGAATGGCCAAGACGATTCATGAAAAGCAGACTTATACAATTGTTGCAGAACTGGAGAAGCATGAGGACAACAGTGGCTTGCTTGCTGTCTCTCCTTCCCTCCTGCCCTCCCTTCCTTCTTTTCCTCCAATGCTTTCTTCCCACCTTCCCTGCCTTATTCAGTGACAATCACAAGGATGCAAGGGCAGGTTCTTTGGTATGTCAGAGAGTGTCCTCCAAAGTCTCATGTATCAAAGGCTTGGTTACCAGCCCGAGGTGCTGCTGAGGTGGTAGAACCTTGAGGAGGTAAAGCCTAGTGGAAGGGATTTAGGTCCCTGGGGCATGCTCTTGAAGAGGGCATTGAGGCTATAGCCCCTTCCTGTCTCCACTCTTTGCTTTCTGGCCACTGTGAGTGGCCATGATATATTATGCCACTAGAGGCCCACATTGATATGGCTAAGCACCATGGGCTGAAACCTCTGAAACCATGAGCCCAAGTAGAGTTTTCATCCTTATAATTTGATTATTTCAGCTATTTTGTCACCACCACAGAAAGCTGACTAAAATATCAAGATAGTAAAAAAGGACCCAAGTATTCAAGGCGATTAATATTTACCTATGGAAAGAAATCACAAGCTTCTGTTATACAAAAGGAAGCCTTCTTAGGAGTTAAGCTTTTAAAATAAAGGTGTCAATAATCCAGAAACTCAAAAGTCACCAATGATTTCTGCTACTGGGCTGTCCGGAGAAGGGGAGGATGGAACTCCTGGATCTCTGTCTCCAGTGACTCTGACACAGTGAAAGTACCACTTTTCCCACAGGACAAATCACTTCTTTCACCTGTCGACGCGAATATAATATAATATAAGCAAAGACATTACCTGATTGGCCACGGTGCTCTCTGGGCACTCAGTGTCTTCTTTATCAGCCACTGTTTGTTCAGAAAAAATCTAAATTTTTTTCTGAATGAAAAATGGTGCCATTATTATTATTATTATTATTATTATTAGGCCTAATGAAACAGCAGACTGAGCAAATAGCAAAGAACCAAAATCTCTATACTCTTCACACATTGTAGATTGGACTTGAGTGTTCAGTAGTTTAAGAGAGATGTGACCTGGGGCAAAGCCAATGTGTTTTATTGTTGAATAGATCCCTATTTCACTCCTTTCCAGTTGGAATCAAGGAAGTTGCCTAACCCTGATGACCCTCCATTTCTAAATCTTTGAAGAGTCTAAGACTTCCTGGCTTCAGGGCTGTAGTGAGGAGGGGGAAAGGCAGTCTGGCCAAGTGGTCAGTTGCAGCCTGCTCTCTGCTCGGTTCCCTTGCCTTCCCCATAAACCCCTAGTTCTCACTACGGAGACCTTAGCGCAAATGGACCTGGGTGAGCCTGTCCTAGGCCTGAGCTGTGTGAACTCATGAGATGTGTGCTGTCAACAGTACGGAAAGAAGGATGTTTTGGCACGACATATCTCTACGTTATCTTTAGTTTATCTGTGAATTAGGTGTTTGTGAAGAGAAAGAAGATAAGCAAGTGGTTGGTCAGTTGCTGATTTGGAAAACCTGCCCTGCTCTCTTACCCAGACCTGTCCTTGTGGGCAGGACGGCAGAATCTGGCTGAGTTTGGGAATGTAGGAGGAGCCAAGCTGAAGTGGGGAACTCAGTGCTCCAGCTGAGCCATCTGACTTAGAGAAGTGAGCCTTTCCCTGCCCGTTTTTGGGGCTCAGACTCCAAAGTGTGGCACCCCGGTGTGCTAGGGACTCTGGACTAGAGGAGACTGGATAGGCCTCAGAAGGACCGTCTTTCTGGCCTTCTCTCGTTTTCCTGTCTCTGCTCCCCTTTAGTTTTCCCCACTAATGAGACACAGAGAAACCAGAATTCCTCTTCCCAAGGACAGATCCTAGACTCTACAACTGCTCTTCTCCAAGAAAGCCCTAAACTCAGGAAGGACATTCTCTCCCTTGAAGACCTCATTCCAGAGGGTTCCTGCACCAGACATAGGAGAAAGGAATGCTCACAGAAGCCAGGAAGAATCTCAAAGTCAGACCCTCCTGGGGACCCCTTAGTCTTATCCATATAACAAAACCCAAGTAGATTCTTGTCTACTTTTTATAGGATCATTCAATTTTTTTTTTTTTTTTTTTACATATAGTTCTGATTCAACAAAACTGAGTGCTGGAATTCTGGTTATATGTTGACCCTGGCAAGAGATGTTTGCCCAAATATGCTGATCATTTGAAATATTCCTCTTGGTTTGGAGACCCAGTTCACATTTTTCTAGTCAGTGTGCTACCAATTCTTCTTGGGCATTCCAGAGCATCCAGAGTTTCTTTCATTCTCTTGGTTATTAATCCCAGTGCCAAGTATATATCAACACATATTTCCAGATTTATTTCTCTCTTTGCCGTTTTTACTTCCATACCAGGGAGAGAAGGAAAGAGTAAAGGGAGCCATTTTTATTATTAAGAGGCATAAAGTGAAGAAATTTTGGCCAGGGATGTAAATTTTGTGATCCTTTTGGTTACCGTCGGGTATATATGAGAAAGTGGAACGACCGACTGATGATTATTATGTGCCTGTGCAAAGGAACATAAAATTCTCTGATGTCCTCGCAAGTCAAAATAGCAAAGAAAATTTTGGCAATCTCTCTTGGTATAAGGGCTGTAAGGTGGGAATGTGCTCTGCCTTCTAGAATAATAATGGACTGTACGTTCAGATGGAATGAGAAGAAAGACGGGGCTTGGAATGGGAAACCTGGACTTGAGTTCTGGCATTGCTGATGGGTCACAAAGCTTCTCCAGGCAATTCTCCACCTCTCTGTTTTTTTTTTTTCCTTCATAAATGTTGCGCCTTATTAAATGACTTCTAGTATTATTTTCCTCTCAAAAGACTCTCTGACCCTTGCTGAGGATTCCTCTCAGAACTTCATGAATACAGCCTTTTAGTGCTATGTTTTATGATTCTGAGTGAAGGTCTAATTTCCACTTGACCACTGCAGAACAGGATTGAGGTCTGGAAGGGACAGTGGGTAGTTAACTATTATGCCACCCGGCACAAAGAGCAGCTGTACTACCAATGTATCTGCCTCCTGAAAAACTCAGATGTGCTCAAGTGGACAGAGAAAGATCAAACAGCAGAAGGGCAAGGACCTCGGGAATCTCAGCTTTATTTAGCCCAAAAGGATTGGCAGCCAGTTGTGACCTTATTACTCAAAGCGTCTCTGCTGCCATTCAAAACAGTTGTTGCAAATGCTCAAGCAGGAACAGTGGGTCTGTGTGGCTCTGTTTTTTTTTTTTTTCCTCTTTCCTAGTTGGGTGGAGAGGAATGTACACAAAACCTGCTTTGAAGAATATTAGTGGTTGGAGTCAGTGTCTGTTGATGGTCTGCAGGATTTATATACTCCTCATGTGGTCTCATTTTAAGAAAAATGCTTTTCCCCTTCTGATACATTATGTCTACTTACCACGGAACATTTGTAAAAACGCAAACATAAATGAAGATAAATATCATCATAACCTCAACACCAAGACAGCCATATTTTCAAAATACATCTTGTAAGAAATCTGTATGCAAGAAGCAGAAGGAGGGTGGGGTGGGCTGTAGGAGACATACAACACAGGGAGACAAAGACCTGGAGAAGTTACCTCTGCTACATCCACAGATTCTTTATGTCACACCCAGCTAGCTCAGGGGCTCTGCTAAGCATCTCAGAAGAGCGAAAGCATTGTTGACATTCAAAAGCTAAACTGTGGACTTGGGATAAGGCGATTTTGTTCTCTGAGGGAAGAAAAGAATCACAGTGCACACCAGGAAAATAATTTTGGAAACACAGTTAATTGTGAAGGTGAGGCCGAGCCAACTCATGGCTAAAGATACAAAGGAAACATTGTTCATTTCCCATAAATGATTTCCCATATGTAAAGTGGGGCCAATCCTAGCAGGTGACTTCAGAGATGTGGAAACATTTAACCACATAGGAATAAATCTTGCAAACATATTTGAAAAAAATGCAAAGTGTAACCTTTAAAATAAAAATCCGTGGCTGTCACATTTAGAGACTGAAAGCTCAAAAAGCAGGGCTTGTTTATAACAACCACAAAGGCTGGGGAACCTGTGGTTTTATTGGATTTCTCATCCCAAGAAAATATTTACACTTGGAGGAGATGATGAATTTTTAACTATAAAAGCCATACGTCGCATATTTGTGGAAAACATTGCAAATAAAAATGTTATTTCTCCTTAGTCTGACAAAATTGACAGTTCTGCTTCAGGCATCAAAAAAAAAAAATAGGTAATCACGGTTTTTCAAAAATGTTCATGAAGCTTTTCATTCTTAATGGGCCTATATATGGATGGTTGCCATAAATGAAAATGATCTTTGGTGAGTGTCCTGATTTTTACTGACAAAATTATAGGCACTGAAGTGTTTGGAAGGTTCCATATAAACAGAGGAAGAGAAAAGAGAAACGCAGGAGAGAGTGAGAAAAAACATTAGCATAGACAGAGTTCAATAGGCTGCGGGCAAAATGGGATGAATTTGCACTGTAGAAAAATAAAGACTTAATTTTGAGGAGTTTAACAATGTTTGCCTTTTAATCATCAACAACCTAATTATTAAAAAAGTTACAATTATTGATTTAGGGATGAATTTGTTTGTGACAGGAAAAATCTGAAAAAGCCAATATTAGGTTTATGCATTAGCCATTATGCCAAAAAGTAAAGTCCTTATTTTTAGCTGAAGGCTTGAGGCTTCTAAATAACAGAAGCAGAAATAACACAAAAGCTGCATGCATCCGGGGAATGCGATCCAGAAATGGATGTGGCAACACAGACTGGTATTTTGTGTTTCCAAAAGTAATATCTGAATGCACTAAAATAGAAGGTTCCAGATTTTGCCCTTAATATCCTCTCTCTTCTCTCATTTCCAGAGCTTTTGATTGTCTCTCTAAAGAATAGAAGAACTCCAAGACAAAACCACATAAAGAACTTCTTAACTCTTCTATAGGACTAAAACTTAGTTGCAGCAGGTGCTGTGGAGGAAGGGAGTGGATTTGTTATCCTGGGAGAGGATTCCTGATGAATCCAGGATGAGTTCTGTCCCTTCCTCTCTTGCTCTCCTCCTCTTTCCCTCACTTCATTTTCTGCCATGGGAGAATGCAGCACCAAGGCCCTTGCCAGAAGCCAGCACCATATGCTCAGATTTCCCAACGTCCAGAACCATGAGCCAAATAGATTTCTATTGTTTATAAATTTCCCAGTCTCGGGTATTGTGTTATAGCAGCAGAAAACACACTAAGACATTTACCTTCCTGGAATTCTGGCTAGGCCTGAGAATTAAAGGTACATGAAATAGATTTAGTAAAAGAAAACATACAGATTTGTACATGTACACAGAGGTCCATCTAGGAAAACCAAAACCCAGAAAAATGGCAAAACCCAAGTGCTGATTATATAGTAAATTGAATAGAAAGAGAGGATTGTGGAAAAGTCACTTAAATGTGTGGGGAGTAATTTAAAAGAAGAAAAGAGCTGTTTTAATGAGGTCTATCTGTAAGATTTTTTTCACCCTCAACTCCCAATCTCCTGTGACAAGAATTTTCTTCTTTCCTGGTATAAGAAGGGTGTCTTTTTAAAGCGAGTTTTCTCCTCTCTGAATGACTGCACCTCTCCTGGTGCAGGGAGGGCAGACCAGTCCTTTTGTTTTTTGATGTTAAAAAACATCAGAGGATGGTGGCTTCATTTTTTTTAAAAAGCGCCTTGGCTCAAAATGATCCTTATGCCACAGTGGCATGTTTTGAAGGTGGCATCCTCTGCCACCCTTTACTAGTAGCAAGCTTCCAGTGGCTTTTTATTAAGAAATGATACAGTTTAGGACACACTTTCTGGAAACAAGACTTCTTGACATTTGGCAAAACAGCAGAGGCAGGAAGTTTTCCTGAACCTTCCCTTCACCCTTCTCCCTTGACATATGTCATGAAACCTAGGGAGAGCTCCCTGACCTTCTTCCCTTCTCTCCAGAGCTGGCGCTTGAGGATGCCTTCCCTAAGCCCAAAAGAAATAAATGGGTCTTATTTCTGAAGATAAAGCAACACAAAAAAAATCTGAGCAATCAAGACCTGTAAGTCCCCCCGGTTTCTTACCATCCAATCACGCCTGGGCCAGCTAGTCTTTTGGAGACGTGATAGTCCAAGGAAAAGAAGACCTGCGTAACCCAGCCGTGGCTGTTGTCCATGAGGTGCCCACTGTAGGCCTGGCATTGTTCTCAGTGCTTTGTGCATATCGTCATCTAGGGCTGATGGTTGCTATTTTACAGATGGGAACACCTTCTTCCTTTGGAGCTGCCAAGAAATATATGTCCAAGCTTATGTGCCTAGGAAGCAGCCAAGCAAATGCCCCATGTTGGGCCTGTCAGTTGATATCTAGCCGCGGCCTCCGCCCCTGGCTATTTCAGAAAAGAGGTGTCACCTGTATCTTGAATATAGCTTCTCAGTATTCTAATTCCATTCCCAATAAAAACGACCAGAGGCAGAGCTAGTCAACACCTTCCCTACGATGAGAGTGCACATTAAGATAGATGGAAAAGAGATTGTGGTTTTAAAGGGGGAGGATGGTGGCCTCAGTGCTTCACACAGTTCAGACACGTGGATGGCACCTTTTCAATCCTGCATAGTTTTGAAATATCTGTTGCCACTGCTTTGCTCCGACTTATATCTATGTCTATATGTATATCTATGTATCTACCTATCCATATACTTATATAGATACATTTACTTAAAATGTATTGGCTAAGAAAGTCTATATCATGGTGGTGAATGGAAAACTAGTATCATTTGTTGTAAGTGAAAGGTACTCAGAGGAAGCAGACAATGTCAGCAGGGCCAAGTCATTACAGTTTAGCTCCCTCCTTTCCATGGCTCCCTCTTTTCTTGGAATTTCCTCTTCAGTTTCCAATGCCCTTTCTTCCTTCAAAGTCCTTCTTCTCTTTCAGGCAAGTGGGACAGAGCCTTTCTGTGGGGAGGCTATCGGGAGTGTTCTCAGGCTGAACTCCTTGACAAATGGGTCTCGGCCTAGCTCACATTCCTTCTTCCCTGGTTTGAAACATCTCCAGTTTCCATCCCTTTTTGCATGATCTTTAGGTCCTTCAAAATTATGTTTGCTGTTTATAGTTGAAAATTGAATTTGGAAAAAAGGGTAAATCTGTCATTAATAAGCTACTCTGGCATTATCAGAAGACTTAAATTCTGTTTTTTTTCCCTAGTTGAGATTCTATTTCTGCATTTTCATTTGAGTGTGTGATGTGGGATAGTCACATGAAGTGAATATCACAAAACAAAAATTTCAGGACCATCTTCATTTGTCGTAAATTCCCTCCTAATGATTTTGACTGCCACTGCATATTTAATGGGCTCTTCTTGATTTCAGGAAGAATATTAATACATTGTTCACCCTATGTGAATTTTGATTATTGTAAATACAAGAAGTCATTGCTCAGAATGTAATCACATAAAACTCACGTGTGGGATGAGAACATAATAATCTTTCATAGTTACTTAAAGTGGACAGATTAAATTATAGCTCTAAATGTTATTAATAGAAAAGTCCCATTGAGGGCTGCTGCTGTGCCACCTAGCATATTTTAATGCAGGGTCCCCAGTGAAGGGGATGTGCGTACTTACCAATGGAAGATGGGAGAGAGGCTTCTAGGCTGAGCATTACCCAATGCAGCAATCTTTTCATCAGCTGTGCTAAGACAGAAAGGTGTCAAGTAAGCGTGTGTGTGTGTGTGTGTGTGTGTGTGTGTGTGTGTGTGTGTGAATACACATGTGCTAAGGATCAAAACCAGGACCTCACCCATACTGAACATGCTCTCTGCTCTGGAGCTACATCCCCAGCCCAAGCTTCAACTTTTCTGATGGAGTCCTCTAAGTAGCATCCTTGCCTGCTTTCTGCACCAAATCCCTAAATTAACTCCATCCAGGGCTCTCAAATGACTTCTTTCTCCATTGAGGACCTGATGGGCACAGAAGAAGAGCACAACCCTCCATGGATTTTAGAATACTCTTCCTCATTCCTTTTCCATCTCTTCTCCTCACTCTGGAACCTATAAGATAGTATGATGAGAAATGGCCAACAATACTTAAGAACCTAAGTGAGGCTCTCCTGGCTCTTAGATTCTTCCTATAGTAATCTGGCAGAAAACATGGTATGCAATTAAAACAAAATTAGTGTATTAGTCTGTTTTCTGGTGCTATAAAAACCTGAGTCCGGATAGCATATAAAGAAAAGAGACTTATTTAGCTTACAGTTGGTGAAGCTGGAAGTCTGAGATCAGACAAGCCTATTGGTTCCATCTTTGGCAAGAGTCTAATGGTGGATGGCATTACAATGGTGGGAGGTCGTACATGTTGCAACAGGAAACCAGAGAGATTCAGCAGCAAGGCTTGCTTGTTGTACAACTTACTGTTATGGGAACTAACCGGGTCTCTCAAGAACTACACTAATGCCTTCTAAGTGTGGTCATTGTGGTGATGATTTTAGGAAAAAAAATCCAGAAAACCAACTGAACCTTTAAGTTTTAGCCTGACTGATTAAAGCAACCCCTATACAGAGAGAAGTTATAACTTGAGAAGGCAGACAACAAATTAAAAACAAAAATGATTTCAGCATTGTGCTAAGGAGGCACACAATCACCAGCGGGAGCATGCAGCAAGAGGTCTTGACCTACCCCTGGAATGCATCCTTAAAAAAGTAAACTTCAGTTGGTTAGTAGGAGGTAAGTAAAAGCCAGGATAAGGGATAAACAAGCTGTAGGTGGAGGAGTTATGAAGAATCAGTGCCAGACAATACTCACATTATAGAAGCAGCCTAGATGCTCATCAAGAATGGATAAAGAAAATGGAGTATCTCTACACAGTGGAGTGTTATTCAGCCAAAAGAACAAATTCATGCCATTTGTTGGAAAAAGGATGAAACCGGATAACATCATTTTAAACAACATAATCCTGACTCAAAATGACAAATATTGCATGTTTTTTCCCATATGTAGAATCTAGAGAAAAGAAAAAAAAAAGAGGAAAAGATGACATGAAAGTGGTAGAAAAACCATCAGGAAAGGGGAAGAGGAAGGGATCAAAAGAGATGGAGGAGGAGAGAGAGCAAGGCAAAGTAGGGAATGTGGACACAGTCGAAGCACATCACATGCATGTATGGAAATTTCACAATGAATCCCATTACTTTGTACGATTATTATGCACTCATAATCATGACAGAAATAATAAAAATTCTGGGAAAAATCTACTGAGAAACAGCATAGTAGATTTGAAAAGAGCATGTAGATTTGAAAAGCTGGAAAAAGTTAAAGAAGTTAATGAGAAGAGCCCTGGTGTGAGTGTGGATGGAGGATTTGGGAATCAGGGCAGGCTTTGAGGATATTAAGAAGTTTGAACCAGCTGGGAGTGGTGGCACACACCTGTCCTCCCAGAGAACTGGGAGACTGAGGGAGAACAGTAAGTTCAGGGTCAGCGTACGCAACTTAGGGAGGCCCTAAGCAAGTTAGTGAGACCCTGTCTCAAAGTAAAAGATCAAAAAAAGGTCTGGGCACGTGGCTCAGTGGTAATATGCCCCTGAGTTCAATCCCAGTACTAAAGAAGGAGAGGAAGAAGGAAGAGGAGGAGGAGGAGGAGAAGGAGAAGGAGAAGGAGGAGGAGGAAAAGCAGCAGCAGCAGTTCCTTGGACTTTTTGTGTGGGGACAAAGAATAGTTTAGGCAGGTGCTGCTCAGGTGACAGCAGACTATGTTGTATGGGACAAAAGTAGGAGTGGGGAGTTCATCTGGAGCTTTGTGGGGAGGAAAAGAATTTCTATGGATTTTGAGTAGAGAAGAGGCCCCTGGGAACGATGTCTGTAAGACATCTAGAAAGTGCAGTCACTAGGGTTTGGAGGTGAGCTGCCTGGCACAGGAGAAGGAGGTGGGCGAAGGGTCTGGAATAGTCTCCCTGGTACATGGAGTCTTTAATTATGACCCAAGAGAGAAAGGTCAAGGCAGGTTTTTCTTCACCTTCATAAGCTGAAGCTTCCTTTCCAATCTATTTGATCTAAAACAAATGAATTTATTTTCAGCGAAATTCTTCTTCTTGACTCTTGGGGTTTTGTGCTATATTCAGCTGGATTCTTGCTCTTAGGCTTCCTCTCCAGGTTGCCCGTTTCCTGCACATCACTTTATTTACTAGGGGAAGAAAATGCTTTTGAAGTTCTA